CACACAGCGGTTCCCCCATAGCAGCTCTATCTCCACCCACACACACAGCGGTTCCCCCATAGCAGCTCCATCTCCACCCCACACACACAGCGGTTCCCCCCATAGGAGCTCCATCTCCACCCACACACACAGCGGTTCCCCCCATAGGAGCTCCATCTCCACCCCACCCCCTCACACACAGCGGCCCCATTTTACCAGCCCACACCTGGCCCTGATGGGACAGGCAAAATGCTGACCACATCCTCAAAAGTGGCTGCACACTGCTCCCTGCTGGCAGCCATGGGCTCCTGCTGCTCCTTACCCTCAGCAGCCTTGGTCCTAACGGGCTTCCTTCCACAAAACCGCATCACAGAGCCACCCCGCCTCCTGACTGCATCCAGTGGGTCCGGCCAAGTGCAGACCCGTGTCCTGCAGGGCTCCGTCCACCTGAGCGCCGGCCTGCTCCTGCCGGCTGGAGGGCACTGCTGAGCCGCCCGCACCCTTCCCTGCCACAGCCCACCTACCCGGCCCCACTAACCCAGAACAGCTGTCTTGGGTGAGGGAGATTCGCTTCCCTTCTGGGACAATCAGGAGGAACAAGGTCCCAGTGCCAGCGGGAGGCCAGGCCGCGGCTCGGGCCGCCACCTGGGCATGGCTGCATGGGTACCTTGGGAGCGGCAGCCACAGCATGGGCCATGTCGTGGCTGGGGGGGCAGTGTGGGGAAGCCGTGCGGGGGCTTGGCCATCCCTGCACCAGGTGTCCATGCAGCACTGGCCTCCCTGTCTCCCGCACACACACACACCTTCCCCCAGCTCCACAGGGTGTCACAGTCCATGTCAACCATGGCCCAGAACCGAGAGCTGACCACAGGGGGCTGGGCAGCAGCAGGACCTCAGAGACAGCAGCACGTTGTCTGACCCTTCAGGACGTGTTGGGGAGAAGTCACCCCCCACCCCCCACCCGCCCTGTCACAGGGCCAGGTCGGCTGCCAGTTCTACGGTGTCTTCTTCCCAGGACACCAAAGCGGTGATGCGGACGGAGCCCTTGGAGCTGGACAGCCAAGGTGCGGACTGCGCATCCGCCCTGGCCCGCTCTGCGTGCCCAGCTCATTGTCCCTCAGCCTCCTGAGTGGGGAACAGGGCTGGTCCCCTGGGGCCTTGTAACAGCGGCTCAGTGGGGACCCCAAGTTTCCACTCAGCTGATCCAGGACCGACTCTACACACATACACACACTCATACAAACACACAGCCACACACACTCATACGTACACACAGAGACACAGATACACAGACTCACCACATACACAAACACACATACATAAACACACATACATCTATATACACAGACTCACCACAGATACATACGTACACACACACACATATATATATACATGCACACATTCACAAATATACACACATACACACACAGAGCCACCACATGTACGCAAACACACATACACACAGATACACAGACTCATCACACACAAAACCACACACATACAGATATACAGACACACAGAGATACACAGATACACAGACTTACCACACAAACACATACATGCATACACATACAGACACACATACAGACAGACTCACCAGACACATACACACATTCACAAACACACACATATACACACAGACTCACCACACACACACATACAGGCATATATACATACAGGCACACACGTGTACACACTGCCCCCGGCCACACACACATCCCAGCCTCGCGCTCCCGGCAGGTCTGACAGCTGAATGGCTGGAAACAAAAGAGGAAGGAGAATTAGAGATCTGGAAATAATGATGCTTTATTCCATTGATGTCATATTTGCATAAATGCCATCTAGTTTCAGAGGCCAAGTTCAAACGGCGCATGTACTACTGAGATCGTTACAGAAATACACAAGCAGACCCATGATCCTGATTGGGTCCAGCAGAGTGGAGCAGGTAAGGGAACAAGGAACTTGAAGAGTTCTGTATTATGGAACTTTCTTTCTCTCTCTCTCTCTCTCTGTCTCTCTCTGTGTGTCTCTCTGTCTCTGTCTCTGTCTCTCTCTCTCACACACACACACACGTGTGCATCTATCTTAGTTGTCTCTACCTGGGTGAATCTTCCACAGCCTGTAGCATCAGTATTTCCCACTGTGATGACACAGCTAACTGTGCATAGGTATCCAGATGGCATTATAAGAACAGACACACAAGAACAGGTTGGGTGAGCACAGGCATCCTTGCTCGCTGCTTACGAAGTTGCTCTGGGAGGAGGCAGGTGGTAAACAGCTCCTCGTGGACGGATGCGAGTGTGTCAGTCCTCCAGGTGCGGCTATGCCCGCGCTGCGCTGATCTGTGCACAGCTGACCAGAGACGGACACATCAGCACAGGCTAACTTGGGAGCACCCGTGCTCCCTGACTGAGCCCCGCTCCTTTTTCCCAAGGAAGCGGGGTCTATTTCGTGAGTAATGTTGATGCTAGGAAGTGTTGCTGCCATTTCTTAATTTCTTAACAACAAGACATCTGTGGTTAAACTGGAGCTGGCAGGAAACAGGCTCGAGGCGTGTAGAGCTGGAGTGGGAGGCTGTGAGAAAGTGAAGGCCAGAGAGCTCACGAAGAATGTTCAGAAACGCCAAACCACAGCCCCGTGGGATCCCGCGGCATCCTGGGTCTCCTGGCATGGCGGAAGGCTCCGAACCCGCACGCTGTGACTTCCTGACGTGCTGTTCAACACCGGATACGTTTCCACCAGCAGGAAATGGCAGGCTGAGGGTACCCCAGGAGGGGCTCACACCAGCTGTGTCCCCAAGCGGGGGGTCCTGCTCTCCCAGTGCTCACCACACCAGGGGGCTAAGCCTTCCCCGGCTCCGTGAACTGCCGGGCACGCTGGGCTCTGGCGGGTGGGGGCTTGGGGTGCCCTGGGGCGGGCAGGTGAAGGGTGAAAGGTCGACTGAGCATCAGCTGCAAGGGCTTCATGGAGCCAGACTCCAAGAACACTGCGGGGACGCGTGGGGAGCTAAGAACTGGCCACAGAGTCCCTCGGGGCTCTGCTTGGTGACCCTGCCTCCGCCTCCGTTTCCTTACCAGCTGTGCCTCAGTGGTGCTCAGCGACCACACGGGCTCACAGAGACCAGAACGGAGAACGACGCCACTCCGTGTTGTGTCCTCCAGGGCATGGTGCTGAGGCTTCTCTCGGCACAGACACACGTGAGAGCCGCCACGGGCAGAGACCTCAGCCACGGGGATTGTTCTGTGCTCTGCTGCCCCCAAACCACACGCCCTGTGCCGGCGCCACGTCCCTGAAGCCACATCTGAGCCACGGTGGCGCTGGTATGGGGGGGGGGTTCCAGGACAACAGAGCAGCGTGGAGCCTTCAGAGGGCTCCAGAGAGCAGCTCCGCCTCTGTGGACACCGACCCCAGAGCGGGGTGCCCGCCAGCCGGGGCCCGGCGTGAGCTACGCACAAGACAGACCCAACACGGCTGTGCTTCCCTGCTGGAAATTTTTAGGGTCCAGACTCTGCCTACAGGCATCTGCAGCACAGCCAGGAGTGGAGGTCGTGTGCCTGGCTACTGTCTCCTCTGGGTGTCTGGGGCCAGCAAGTCCTCCTGTCCACCCAGACCCCGGCCTGGGCTCCCAGAACCATTCACACACCCCTTGGACAGAGCAGGCTTCCGGGCCAGGCGGGTTGCAGATGTGCATGCACAGAGACCACAGGGGTGAAGGCAAAAGCCCGTCTGCTCCAAGAAGGACATGATTAGGGGAAGGACACGGAAGGGTCATCAGATTATTTAGTCTTACGTGGCAAGAGGAGCCTGAAGATTCTGCTCCCTAGCAGAGGAAATCTGTCATTGTGATGCCCTGAGACCTGAAAATAGCAGACGTTCCCTGGACTCTTATTAGCGTATTGTTACTGTTGACCCGCATTATTAATTGTTGTTGTTCTCTGCTGTGCCTAATTTGTTCATTAAACTTTCTTACTGTAGGTTCAGGCGGCTCCTGGAGACCCAGGACTTCAGTGAGAGGTGGAGCACTATTGATCCCTGCTTCTGGGACCCCTGAGGTGTGGCTAAAGGGGACAGGTGGTCCAGAGAGGCGGGGCAGGGGGAGGTGACACCAGCACAGTGAACGGATGTCCACGCGCAGGGCACCTGTTCATGGTACCAGCCTGCCTGCCATCCATTCCATGCCACAAGGACTGAAGGGGCTGCTGGTCTGTGCCTTCTGTGACCAGGCCCAACAGTCCTCTGTCCCTAAGGTAGGGACAGAGCCCAGCGAGAAAGCCTGGCCCTCCAAAAGTGACCATGGCTGCTGTGCTGCCTGGTGGAAGCCTGGCGCTGGAGCAGCACCTGACGTCACTCTGTCCAGGCCTGCTGCCACCCAGAGCCCAGTCCTCCCGCGGCGGTGCTGGACAGGGCGCCGAGCAGGAGCTGCCTGGGAGCCTGGGGCTGGGGGCCGCTGGGTGTGGGTGTGGGTGGAGTGTGGGTAAACGGGGCTGACCCAGCCTGAAGACAGCAGAACACACAGCCCACGAGGCCTGGAGACGAGGCGGGGGCCAGGCCACGTGGGGAACAGAACACTCCCCAGTGGAGGACCATGTCTGTCTTTCAAATGTAGCCAACACAGCGAAACGGAAGCCAATCCTTGCAGCACAGGGGAAAAGGTTTATACAAAATACTTTATTAGCAGTCTTTATTTCTTAAAAGTCTCTAGCTTCGAATACGCATTCTGCACCCCCCTCGGCCCCGCTGGGTATTGTCTTACGTCGTGTTCTACTTCAGCTGGCATTTGACAAAAGGCGCCCATCCCAATTTCTATGGTCTGCACCACAGGCACAAAATGAAAGAACATTCTCTGTCCTTCTTGGAGAGAAGGACAATGAAGGTTGATGCTGGTATGCTTCTGAGATGAATAACACCACGAGCACGCATGCCCAGAGCGGCCTTGCGCCCATGTGGACAGATGTATGGGTAGAGATTCACACATGCACAGATGCGCATCTCCCCGGAGCCACGCTGCTCTACTCGTGTCCCCGGGATGCTCACACCAGCCACCGACACAGGGGTGAGTCCAGCCCGGGGCCACTAGGCCAGCCAGCGACACCCAGCGCAGGCGCTGAGGAGCTGGGGGCAGGGCTGGGACGCCTCCTCATCCCTCCGTGCCTGGTGGCAGAGAAAGGAACGGGACAGCTGCCACACCTGCCAAAGAATTTTCTAGAACATGTGTGTGTGTGATGAACACTGGCAGCTCAGTCAAGCCAAAGTTCAGGGACTGCAGTGGATCTTGGAATGGGGTCCCCTGTGCCCTTCCCTGGCTCGGGGCCCCTGGTGGGCTGTGGGGCCCCGCCACCGGAGCCGCATGTCCGTCTGTCCGTGAGATGCAGAGCGCGAAGGCTGAGCATGGGCCCGGAGCCAGGCTTGGGTGGGTCAGTGGAGGTCTGGTGAGCGGGTAAATGAACAGAGGAGCCTGTAGGGTATCTAGCACAGCATCTAGAACCTTCCACAAGGAACTATGCACAAGGTGCTGAATGCTATAGGGCTTTTTTCTTCCTTTGGAGACACCCAGAGGCAGCTTCTGCTCTGAAAGAGGCTCCAGGTTTCTGGGGTGACCTTTCCCCTCAAAGCTTTATGTTCCATTCCCTGGTCCTGATTGCCACTCAAGGGGACAAAAGCAGTGTTCACTGGCCATCCCTGTCCTGGACTGCCCCCCCCCCCCGAGGGACCACTGGCCACTCAATTCCCCCATGGACTTGAGGAGGAGTAGAAGATGGCGAGGCAGTCAGAGGCTTGGGTGCAGGCCGCGGGGCGGCCCGGCGCGTCGAGCTCTCTCCTGCCCCGTAGCCGCATTTGGGGATCTCCACGCGCCTGTGCCAACCACCCTGGAGACCGTGCAGCCTCCCCCAAGGCTGAAGCCCTCCTGTGGGTGGAGAGCCTCACAATACGAAGTTCCCTGGGAGGAACTGGGGGGTTTGGGGTTGGACCCCAGGTTGGGAAAAAGCAGCAAGCGAGGATTGCTCCCTTGGGGCACTGAGTAAGGCATTTTAACAACTCCGAAAACTAGAAAGCAGAGGGAATGATGGACGTAGAGGTGCCGACACCGGCGTCCCGTCCACCCTGCCCGGGGAGACGCGGCGGGCCCGTGCGTGCGATGCGGGGAGCGGGGCCGGGACGCAGCTCCCCCAGCAGAGCCCTGGCTCTTCTCTAGCCCACCAGAGCCGGCGAGCAACACTGCCCCACGGGGTGTGAACGGGGGGAACCTCCAGCCCCCACCCCAAGCTGCTTTGGTCAGCATGCTTTAAAAACAGCCCTGGGTCACCGTGTCTGCCAGCGGCCTTCGGCCTGGTGTCCCCAGGCTCCGCCCCTCTGATCACACTCTTGTCTGTGCAAGGGTAACTACACTGCATCTGGAGTAGAAACAGGACCCATGGAAGCATGAAGGCCCAGGACAGAGCTCCTGAGGACCTGGTGCCCTCAGACATCTCAGACACCTAGAAGCATCTCTAGGTTTTTCTGAAAAGGCTGAGAAGCAGCCCTCGCTCTCAGGGCCAGGGAAGCCATCTTTGGAGTAGGGATGGTAGCGCGCACAGCACAGTCCTAGTAGATCCTGGCTTACAAGTCTGCCCTGATCAGAGCCATGACCAAAGCTGCCTGCCCGGGCCTGGACACATGGACGGTTCCGTGTGGGCCCACGCATGGGGCCCCGAGGTGAGGTCACCGCCATGTTCTCCTCACAGCCATCACCGCACAGCCCGCCTCTGCGCCGACTGTTTTATAAAGGCTAAGTTTGTCCCTGGTTAAACTGAAGCTAGAAGGCCAACCCCATGTTTGTAGAGAGCATGTGAACTTAGCATGACTCTGTAATGTGCATTTCGATTGTGATTACTAAAAAAAAAAAAAAAAAAATCTGAAAATGAACAAAATAAAAAAGAAGCTCTGAGCATTTTCAAACCAAGTCCACGTGGAAGGAAAATGCAGAGCTTTCCCTTGCTCAGGACACAGCCAAGCACGCCCAGAAGGACACCTCCAAGCTAGAACCACCTTGAACGTGACCCAGTGCTGAGACTCAAAGAGGCCAACGGATCTGCTCACAAACAAATACATTCTGTCACCAGAGACCTCGACTCTGGGACAACGGTATTGTGGTAGGAGATGGCAGCATTCTCCTAAAGGTGACCTCCACCGGCCTGTCCGCCTCCTGGCCACTGTGGCTCACGCTGCCCCGGCCACCCTGTGGCCCAGCGCTCAGACACAGGCTCAGTGGAGGTAGCTGATGTGACAGAATGGAGGGTAAATGGTCCCCTAAGTCACTGGGGCTGATCTCCTGCACATTCTGAGCAAAAGGAAGGTGGTCAGAAAGCTAGGAAGAAGGAGGCGATTTTGCATAACTAAAGAAGCACATGAGAAAGGAAAACTCCTGAAAGAGTTGGCCAGTATCCTCTTAAGACTCTCAATCGACTCCATCTGAGCATGGCTCACATGATGGCGTCTACCTCTCCACCCGGAGCCCGCACCAACCGTGCACAAGTGCTGCCTGAAAGTGCGCCACCCTGTGGCTAGGTCGAACTCCGTCTAGCTTTAAGCGAAGTGTTATTTACCCTGAATTACTCCTCAACAATTACTAAAAAGATAGAACTTTTTAAAAACAAGTGAAATTTATCGACTTTGGCTCAGAAAGTGACTTCCTCAGAAAAGAGGTGAAATTGAGAAGAAATCGCGAGAAGCAAAGTCACTGGAAGGCGTCTCTACACGGTCACGTCTACTCCAGGACCGGCCCTCCCTCCCCCGCGAGCTCCCGGGAGCAGCCCACGGCCCTCCATCCACGCGGGACTGACTGCGGAGGCCTGGGTGCCAGGAGAGACTTCCCAAGGACGCCTCTTGTCACCAGCGGTGTTGCAGTATGAAGTCCTGCCCCAGGGGCAGTCTTCTGAATTCTGCACATAAAAACAAAACAAAACAGAACAGAACAAAAATCCCAACCTTCCTACATCTTCCTAGTTCAAGCTAGAAAAGGTAAAGGAGAGAAGACTCAGCCCGGTCAGGCAGAGCAATGAGCCCTGGTTGCCACCACGCTGCATGGCTTCCAGGCTGGGTGGATGGTCTCTGAGTCCCCGGGCACGGCGCACGCCACCGTCGCTCAGCAGTCCCGTGGCCGCAGTGTCTGGTTTGCCTCCTGGTGGCATCGGCGTGCTTTACCTCTCTGCCCGGATTTTGTACCTCAGGACAAAGTAGGCGATGAGGCGCAGGGAGATGAAGAAGATGCCCAGCACGATGAAGTCCAGGTAGAGCTTGGCATTCTCCACGTCCAGCTCCCGCAGAATGGCCTCCGACTTCTGGAAGTGGCACGTGTCATCGATGTCACAGTGCAGGTCTTCCCGGTCCAGGCCGTAGATGGACAGGATAACACCCTCAAAGCCATACCTGAGCAGGTGAGCATGGGCATGAGGGGAGGGACTCACCGGCTCACACGGCCATCGCGGAAGCCCACCATGCCACTGTCCGCTGGCTCCGAGCTGGCCCCCCAGCCCCAGTGCTCCCCAACTCCTTTCCAGCTCCCCGATACAGGACGCCTTCCCTGGGAGCCCCCAGCAAAAGCCCCACCCGAAGGTGTTCATTCAGAGGGGATGCGGTCTCTTCGGGCCGGGCTGCTTTGTGTGCAATGGTGATCCAACAGCCCCGCACCCTCTCTCCCCTGTCTGGCCTCAGCCTGGCCTGGGCAGAACAAAAGCACTGATTTTCACCTGAAAGACACGGCTCTCTCGTTTCCTGTCAGTGGCCAGCAGTCCAATTGGTACAAAGGACTTTGTGTGGAGCTTATTTTCCTGAACAATACACTTGGGTCTGAACTGACATTCTAGAAAAGTAGCACTTGTGAAGACTGTGTGTCACGTGGAGTGGCTGAGGCCTGGGACGAAGGTGGTGATAAAGCTCTGGAGATGGGCACTGCCCGCCGGGGGCTGGGGGCAGGCACTGCCCGCCGGGGGCTGGGGGCCGGCACTGCCCGCCGGGGGCTGGGGGCAGGCACTGGGGCGCTCAG